CCCAGTATCCATGAAACTTGAGGATTTTTGGTTGTAGATGCCAAACTTCAGCCTCTCCACTTTTCACTGATGAAAAAGGTGGTGAGGAGATGGTGCCATGTGGGGGCTTGGTGGCAGAATTCCCAAAGGGTCCATTCAGGAGCGGGCAAATCCCACACTCAAGACTTGGCTTCTGTGTTTCCTTAAGTTCTGGTGTTCTTTCAGGATCCTCGTAGTCCCTCAGTTCTCCTGGTCCTGGTGCTGCCCACACTCCCAGCACTCATGGTCATGTAGAAAATCAATTTATTAATGAAAATATTTTATAGATCACCTGGCTCAGGTTCTCTTGAACATATAGTGTATTCCTAAAAAACCTTTGGGAAGGACCAGACCCTTCCTAAAGCTGAAAAGGGCAGGTTTGCTCCTTGGATGCCATCTGGGAGTTGTGCTTGGAAGTTTCTCCCCAGAGCAGAGGTGGGGCTGGCAGGTGACCCCAGGACGGACTTTTGCCGTTGGAGATCCCAAATTTTCTGTAGCAAAACAGGGACGAACAAGAAAACCGGTGGAGAAGGTCCCAAATTTTTCTGTAGCAAACCAAGAATGAAAAGAGATTGAGGAAATCCCAACTTTGCTGTAGCAAAATGGGGATGAGTGAAAAAACAGATTTCTCTTCACTAGCAGAGGTGGGGCTGGTCCCCAGGGACTTTTACCCCTTGGAGGGGAATCCCAAATTTCCTCCATCAAAAGAGGGATAAACAGGGAAATTGGTGGAGGAGATCCCAAATTTCCTGTAGTAAAACAAGGATGAGTTTCTCCTCTGAGCAGAGGCTGGTGGGTGACCTCAGCACTGATTTTCCTCTTTTGGAGGAGATCCCAAGTTGGAGGAGATCCCAAATTTCCTGTGGCAAAACAAGGATGAGTTTCTCTCCAGAGCACAGGTGCGGCTGGCAGGTCCCCAGTGACTTTCCCTCTCAGAGAAGCTCCCAAATTACCTCTATAAAAACCATGAACAAAAACTGGTGGTGAAGGAGAACCCAAATTCCCTGTAGCAAAGCAGGCCCGAACAAGCGAAACCTCGCTGTGCTGGAGCAGGATGGAGCTGGCTGTGCCTCAGGGTCGTTCTGGGGTGGTCCAAAGGGCCACATTCCCCCCATGTCCCGCGTGGATCTGCAGCTCAGGCGTGGGAGTTGATGGCTTTTTGTTTTCTCTCCCGGTGACGTCAGCCTGCACCTGACCACCTTCAGCCTGCAGTACACCCCGCCCGTTGTGGCCTGCGTCTGTATCCACCTGGCCTGTAAGTGGTCCAACTGGGAGATCCCAGTCTCCACGGACGGGAAGCACTGGTGGGAATACGTTGATGGCACTGTAACTCTGGAGCTCTTAGATGGTAAGTTTGGGAGCGAGGTTTTTTTTCCCTGCAAAAGGCTCTTAAATGATTTTGGCATCGCTGGTCCTGGGTCTGATGTTCCAACACCACCTCACGGGCTCCAGGAGTTCAGGGCTTGCTGAGCTTTTCCAGGGCAGCAGCAGCTTCTGTAGCACCACAGAGAAATGAGTTTGAATGGGTCAGTGATTCCAGTTGTCAGAATGCCCCTCCTGGCGCAGCTCCATCCCACCAGTAGCTCCATCTGTCAGATGAGGGGGTCGTCCTGCTGGACTGGGGCTGTTCTGACCCTCCTGCTTGTGTTTGTGTCTCCTCTGCAGAACTGACTCATGAATTCCTGCAAATCCTTGAGAAAACTCCCAGCCGACTGAAACGGATCCGGAACTGGCGGGTAAGAGCCTTGGGCACAGGCTGTGATTCCTTTGGGAATCACAAGGCAGGACAGCACGGGAGGGAGTTGTGTCTGGAATTGGGATACTGTGTGGTTCTTGAGTTCATCTGTTGTGAATTAACTTGTACAGAACTTTGGTTTTCCAGCTGCATTAGCAGCCCTGCTTCCAGGGGTTGGGAATTTCCCACAAGGAGGGAAGGCAGCAAAGTGGATCTGTTTGTAAAGAAGACCTTGCACTGTCCTGATGAGCTGCTGGGATTAAACCAGCTCCAGCGACACCCCAAGTAAACACTTGCCGATTTCTTTAATTCCAGGCCTCTCAAGCAGCCAGGAAATCCAAAACCGACGACCACGGCGATGACGAGAGCCTGTCGGAGCAGACAATCCTCAACATGATCTCCAGGAACAACAGCTCGGACATGAACATCGCTGGCCTCATGAGCATGTCTACATCCTCCACCGCCGGCGCGGGGCCGGCGCTCCCGGCCGCGGCCGATTCCCCCGCGGAGCCGAGCGCCGCGGATCCGTCCCAGGCGGATCACTGGCACCCCCCTGCCAAGCTGGACATCCACAGGACTAGCGAGGGCACATCGGCCGCTGAGCACCCGCAGCAGGACGGTGCTTCCTACCCCAAGCAGAGCACCAAGAACGCACCCTCAGCCAAGGTGTCCCTCAAGGAATACCGGGCCAAGCACGCCGAGGAATTGGCGGCGCAGAAGCGGCAGCTGGAAAACATGGAAGCCAACGTGCGCTCCCAGTACGCCTACGCCGCGCAGAACCTCCTGGTGCAGCAGCAGCGGGAGAGGGAAGGGCAGCAGGACAGCAACCCCTCCCCAATCGTCCTGAAAATCCCCAGCGCGGGGCAGGAGAACCCCGAGCGCCCGCCCGGCGCCGACAAGGCTGACAAAGCTCTCAAGATGAGGATCCCGGCGGTGGGGGGAGGCGGGGAGAGGCCGATCCCCTCCAAGCAGGAGGATATCAAGATGCGGATTAAGGTGCCGGCTCCCGGAGACAGACACGGCTCCGCGGATGAGAGCGGCGCCGGGAAGAGCCGGGATTACAAAGAGAAGCACAAGGGCCACTCATCCAACCATCACCACCACCACCACAACCACCATTCGCACAAACACTTGCACGCCCAGCTCAGCGCCGGCCCCAGCACCGCGGCCAAGCGCCCGGGGGACTCCAAACACGGCGCCCAGCCCGGCGCCACCGCCACCCCCCACAAGGGCTACGGGCCTCTCGCCCCCACCCGCAAAAGACCCCTGCCCGAGGAGCCCCCGGCCATGCCCCACGAGCACCAGCCCAAGGTGGGCAAAGTCTCCAAAGGCCCCGGAGTGCCGTTCCCGTACGCCCACCTTCCCGGGGCTGCCCATCTGCCCGGGCACAGCTCGGATTTATCCCAGCCCAGCAAAGCCCGGGGCGCTCACAAATCGGACAAGGGGCCTTCGGGGGCCAACGGGCACAACGTCAGCCAGGCCAGTGACTATCAGGACACGGTGAACATGCTGCACTCGCTGCTGAGCGCGCAGGGCATGCAGCCCACCCAGCCCCCCGCCTTCGAATTCCACTCGTTCGAGCTCCTGAACCCCCGGGCTTCCAGCGGCTCCAGAGCTGCCACCAACACGGACAAGCCCCGACCGCCCCCCCTGCCCTCGGAACCGCCCCCCCCGCTGCCTCCCCTCCCCAAATAACCCCATTTTTACTACTGAGTCCAGAGCCCGAGCCCAAACCTGCGGGGCTTTTCTAAGGGCTTTTTGATCTCCACTGCCTCACGAAGAACTTATTTTATTATAATATAACTTTTATTATTGATATTTAGTTGTTAAAGCTGTGAAAGGATAAGGAACCCTTTCTCTATTCCTCCCTTTCCCCCATAGGCTCCCAGTTAGTGTTGGGCTTTGACCCCCCCTCTGGGGAACATGGGGGATATTTAAAATATGTCACAGAAAATTTAAGATGTTTTACAAATAATTTAAGCATTAACTTATATCTCAGTGGTTTGGTTCCTTTTAATTCCGAGGGGCTGTGGCAGAGCCCAGGGGGACTTTTGGGGAGGTTATATTTGAGGCATTGGTGTTGAGTTTTTGGGGGATGGAGGGATGTGGTGGGGCTGAGGGAATCCCAGGTGATGGGAGCTGTTTTCCCTCCCATGGGTCCTGTTTCCTTGTCCCTACACCTGGTTTGGGATCCTGTCTCCATCCCTTGCTCCCTTCCTGCAGATCCCTGGATTTCCACTGGAAACCCTGGGGGCAGGGTGGCACATTCCCAGTGGGATCTGGGATGAGAAAGTGCCAGGCTGGTCCTGTAGGCACCATGCCCGGGGCAGCCCTTCAGGGAGTCACATTGGCACGTGGCTGTTCCCAGCTGAGCTGGAAGCAGCTTCTCCTGGAACCTCAGCCCAGGGCCAGGGGACCTGCCAGGGTTTGGGTTGAATATTTGGGAAAGCCCTATTTCCTTTCTTTTTTAGACTTGACTTTTCTGACCTTCAATAAATGGGTGGTCTCTGGATGGTTTTGGGAAACTCTTGTTCCACCTCGAGCTTGTTTTTAGGAGGAATTCCTGCTGCCAAACTTCCTCCAAGTACTTGGGGACCAATTTGGTCCGGTTTTGGGACCAACTCTTAGATTTCAGGCTCTGGGCAAGGCCCATCCCTTGCTTCCCTTCCGTCTTCTGGGGCCCCTCTTGGAGGCGGCTCCTCCCGGGACGTTGAGGCTCTGCCCTTCCCGGTGGGGAGCAGTGTCGGGAAACCGGGAGGGGACGGAGTGATGCCGGGGGGGGCCCAGGGTGGTGCTCTGGGACCAAACCGGGCCTGCTGTGACTCGGGGCCAAAACACACGCCTGGTCCCGGCTCGCTCCACCTCTCCCTCCCGGTTTTGGGGCCGCTGTCCTGCCCCGGGACCCCCTCCCCGCCGGGTCCTGGCCCGGGATCCGCCCCGGTCCTGGCCCGGGACCCCCCTCACCCCCGGTGTCCTGGCCCGGGATCCCCCCGGTTCCTGGCCCGGGACCCCCGCCCGGTCCCGCCGCACCCACGTGTCGCGTTCCCGCCGCGCCGCCCCCACGTGACCCTAGGAAGGCATGGTCGCTCTTTGGTTGAGTGACTGCCAGCTGAGCCAATCACGCGTGTGAACGCCCCTGTACTCGCCGCTGATTGGCAGGCGGGCGGGCCACTGAGGAGGCGGGGCGAGCGCACGGCGCATCAGCGCGGAGGCCGCGGCGGCAGAGAGGTAAGATGGCGGCGGCGTCTCCTGCTCACAATGGGGCCCGGTGTACCCCTCAGCGCGGCCCCCGAGCTCTTCTCTAGGGCTCCTCCGTCCTGCACCATCCCGGGGCCGGGTCTCCTCTCGCTCTCCGCTCCGGTAGCGCTTCCTGGACGCCCCTCAGGGGTGCCCCTCACGCCCGCCGCCCGCGGACAAAATGGCGGCGCCTGGGCGGCGGGAGGGCGCATGCGCGGGAGCGCTGTGGCGGAGCACGTGCGCGGGCGGGAGAGCGGCGGGACGGACCGGGACGGGCACCGGGAGAGAGGCTGGGATGGACCGGGATATACCGGGATAGATCAGGATGGGCACCGAGAGAGAGACTGGGATGGACCGGGATAGATCTGGATGGGCACCGGGAGAGGGGCTGGGATGGACCGGGATATACCGGAATAGAGGCGGGGATAGAGCAGGATGGGCGCTGGGATGGACCGGGATACACCGGGATAGAGGCGGAGATAGACCAGGATGAGCACCGGAAAAGAGCGGGATGGAGCGTGGCTGAGGCTGGGTGGGCAGCGGGGATGCCCCGGTCCGGGGGCGTGCACGGACACGGGCACCGGGGCAGGATACCCCGGGATACGTCGGGATGGAGGCAGCGATGGGCGCTGGGAGCACCGAGGAGATGCTCTGGGGGTGCACTGGGAGAAGAGGATCCCCCCAGATTTCTGCCGGGTTAAAATCTCCCTCGAGCATTATCGGGAGTTACCTCCGTAGGAGCAGCCTCATCTTCTGCTGAAGGGCTCCGACTTTGATTCACATTCTTTCCCCCTGCTACTTTTCGTTGTGTCAGCGTTTTATTCCGCTGCCTTTCCTTGCTCTCCATCCCTCCTGCAGCGTGGCCATGAACAGGATCCGGATTCACGTGTTACCCACGAGCCGAGGCCGCCTCACCCCCGTGCCACGGCCTCAGGAGCCCCTGGCCTGCTCCTTTGCCCCCCGGCCCTGCTCCCAGCCCCGCCTGGAAGGGCAGGAATTCTGCATCAAGCACATCCTTGAGGACAGGAATGCTCCCTTCAAACAGTGCAGCTATGTGTCCACGAAGAACGGGAAGCGTTGTCCCAATGCTGCTCCCAAACCTGAGAAGAAGGATGGGTGAGTGGCTCTTCCTCCTGCTTTTCCAGTTCCAAACTCTTTGGAATTAAAACAGGCAGGGGGAGGTTTTTCTTGTTGTCTTCCCTTTTGAAGGAAAGGCTGGAGCTCTGTCAGGGGACATTTAGACTGGATTTTGGGAAAAGAATCATTTTCTTCCTCCAGTTGAGCACTTGAGCAGCTCCTCAGGGCAGTGGTAACATTCACAGCCCTGCCAAGGCCCAAGGAGTGTTTGGATAATGCACCCAGGAACATGGTGGGATTTTGGGAAGTCCTGTGTAAGGCCAGGAGTTGGACTTTGTGATCCTTGTGGGTCCCTGTCAGGATATTCCATGATTCTTCTCTTTCAGCTGCTGCATTTGGGTTACCTCTGAGAAACATCTCCCTTTTTCCAAAATGTTTTTTAAGCTGGAGAAAGACTCCGTGGAGTTATCTGGGGACTGTGGGCTGTGCCCTGACCCAGCAGAAGGTGGCTGCAGTGCTCCAGCCCTGCACTGGATGTGTGTGTGCAGTCCCTCCCTCATCCCAGCACACCCCGTGTCTGTGCCAGGGGATAATCCCCCGAGCAGCCGCTCAGCTCCCTCTGGAGCTTTGGCCTCAGTGTGCTTCTGCTTCCCTTAGGCCTTTAAAATGCTCAAGGGGTGGAACAGTTTTGGCTGATAGAGCACAGATTCCTGACAGGAGCATTGCTTCCAGGATTTACTGGGATGTGGACAGTGGCTGTCTCCACCCTGGTCCCTGTGCCATAAAATGTGAGGAAGGCAGAGTCCAGTGAGAATATTTGGAAGCAGAAGAGCACAAAAATTCACCCACCTCACTGGCTTTAACTGAAAGCTCCCTGCTGCTGGAGCCAGAGGTGATGTTCCCACAGTGGTGGGTGGGCTCTCAGCATTGCCAGGCTGGACCTGCAGGCAGCTCCCTGTGAGGGATTCCAGGTGCCAGGCCTTGTTCCTTGCCCTTCTGCCCTGCTCAGGTGAAACTCTGCATCCAGAGCTGCCCCAGCTCAGGAAAAACATGGAGCAGTTGGAGTGAGTTCAGAGATGAGCACAGGGATGGAGCAGATCTCTTAGAAGGAAAGGCTGAGGGAACTGGGGTTGTTCTGGAGAAAAGAAGCTCAGAGGTGACCTAATTGTGGCCTTAAAGTGCCTGAAGGAGCTGCAGGAAAAATGGAGAGAGACTGTTTTCAAGGGGTGGAGTGCCAGCACGAGAGGGAATGGCTTCCCACTGCTGGAGGGCAGGGATAGGTGAGATATTTGGAACAAATGTCTCCCTGTGAGGATGGTGAGGCCCTGGAATGGATTTCCCAGAGAAGCTGTGGCTGCCCCTGGATCCCTGAAAGTGTCCAAGGCCAGGTTGGACAGGGCTTGGAGCCACCTGGGATAGTGGAAGTGTTCCTGCCAGTGGCAGAGGTGAAACTGGATCATCTTGACATTCCTAACCAATCCAGAGCATGCTGGGATTCTGTGCAAATGCAGGAATGTGGAAGGTTTGGGAGCTGTTGCAGGGCTGGTGGCTGCTCCTTTGGAATGGCTGTGCTCATTTAAATGCCTTTAGAGGCCTCTTAAAAAGAGGATTTCCCCCCCACAGCCCCATTATCTGTGGCACGAGGAAAACATGAAGATTTTAATCCCCAGATTATTGTGGCATCATGCATTTAAACCAGCCCAGCTCAGAGCTTCAGGAATGCATTGAGGCAAAAGCAGAGCAGCAGGATCCATGGGAGCTGCTCCTGTGAGGGTGTGCCCTCAGTTTTTGGGTGCCCTGAGGTTGCTGAGCTCTGCTCTTGGAGGCAAAGCCTGGATATCTGTGGCATTCACATTCTCTAGAAAAATGCCTTTGCCCAGGATTTTTCTCCTGGGAAGCTGAGAAGCTTCAGAGAAAAAGAAAACAATTCTTATCTCATTTGCTTCTCCTGTGTTTTGCTCATGTGAAATGTGTTTGGAGATTGGTTGGGTTCTGGTGTGAGTTGTTTTGACTCTTTGGCCAATTACAGCCAAGCTGTGTCAGGACTCTGGAAAGAGTCACAAGTTTTCATTATTAGCATTCAGTAAGTATCCTTTCTGTATTCTTCGGTATAGTGTAGCATTCTTTAGTATAATATTGTATTATAAAATAATAAGTTAACCTTCTGAAAAAATGGAGTCAGATCCATCATTCCTCCCTGCCACGAGAGTCCCTGCAGATACAATAGATCTCCTTTGGAGTTTGCTGATGGAGGAGAGATTCCAGCAGCAGGAACTGAGAGACCAAGCAGGATCAGGCTGGGGAGGGTGTGCTCAAATCATCTTTTATCTTCTTCCTCCATGATGCTGAACCCCTGCTTTGTCCTGCAGCACCTCGTTCTGCGCGGAGCACGCCCGGCGCAACGCGCTGGCGCTCCAGGCTCAGGTGAAGAAATCCAACCCCGGGCCCGTGGGTGAGACCCTGCTGTGCCAGCTGAGCTCCTATGCCCGGGCAGAGCTGGGCAGCCAGGGCGCCGAGAGCAGCCGCAGCGAGGCCAGCCGCATCCTGGGTGAGCACTGAGCCCGTGCCTTGAGGGTTCAGCCTCTGGTTTTTTTCAAATCCCCTGGGGGTACCAGTGGTTGATTTTTCTGGGTCTGGATTGAAGGCACTTTGAGGTGGTAGTTCATGTTTGGACTCGTGTGTTTATTATTTCTTATCAGTAAAACAGTCTCACTGCTGTGAGTTCGGCAGCTCTTCATTAGAAGGCACAAAATGCCCAACAATCTCTTGGTACAAGGTCTTGTAAGACTAAACTGTCCAATTAAGAACTACACCTGGATTATTTTCCCTTTTAACCCAATAACTGATCCTAAAGAGCCCCAGTGAGGACTTTTCTGCCCAATTACAAAATGCCACCCAAACCCATGAAGAAGAAACCCAGGACCTGTGCTCTCCATTTTGCTTCCATCCACAGATACTAAAAATCCCAAAACCTCAATTTTTCACCAAGTGATACAGCTCCACTACTCTCTGTAATCTATTTCACACTTTTGTGGGTTCTAGTGTAGCTTGAAGTCTAGGAAGCTTTCTCCATGAATTAAGGTCAAAGTCAGTGCTCCCCTGGGGGTCAGGGCACCCCAGAGCAGACAGGGAAATATTCTCAGTGCCCTGGGATTTCACAAAATCCTCTACTGCATTAGTGCATAACTCTAAGATCCATATAAAGGTTAGCTGCTGTCTTCACTTTTTGGTCAGACAGAACAATTCCTCTGGTATTGGAATAAATCATGCAGGACTCCATTTTCTTCATGGTGGAAAATTTCCTAGGGCAATGCCTGGGGAAGTTTATCTGGCTCTTTCTCTGACCAGGCTTTCAGCAGCCACACTCTGGTCCTGAAATCCAAGGACACCCTACAGCTTCAGGCCCTGAAATGTATAAACAGAAATGAATTGAAGTGATGCAAACTGGGGGAATATGACTTTGTTACCTGAAGGTAATGAATGAGTTCATTGTCTGAAGGCAATTGGAGGATTAACCCCTGATAGATAAATGAACCAAACTTATATCTGTCTGAAAAACTCGTGACCATCATCCATCTTGGGTGTAGCCTCTAGGAGGCTTTTCACTACCCAAGATGTATCTGTTGAAGGCCTTTAATAAATACCCACTTTATTCTCTTTATATTGTCTAGCCTCTGTTCTAGGCAGCCACTCCAAGGCATCAAAACCCAAAGACAGTGCCAGGCTGCTCTGTTCCTTTGTGAGAAAGCCAGCAATATCCCTTCTCCAGTCCAGTGGGAAAAAGACCCCGTGGTCTGGGAGTAAAAGCTGGGGTTTTGTAAAGCCTGGTGTGTCTCGTGCTGCCAGACCCAGATCCTGCAGGTTTAGCATGGAAATAATACCACTAGAATTCCCTGGTTCCTGGGAGGGCTGAAGCATCATTCCCAGTGTGTTTTGGTTGTTCTGGCTGTTCCAAACTGGGAGGTTTCCCATTATTTCCTGCTCCATGTCCCTCACTCAGAGTTTTGAGGTGGAAAGTTCCCTCTTGGCATGATGCAGAGCCTGCTCAGCTCCATGGGGCTGAGCTCCAGGGTGTCCCTGGCCATCCTGGGATGTGGGACAGTGTCCTGTGACTCTGCTGCTGTGTCTTGCAGACGAGGACAGCTGGAGTGACTGTGAGCAGGACCCTGTCACCGTGGAGCAGACGTGGCGTGGGGACCCTGACAGCGACGCCGACAGCATCGACAGCGACCAGGAGGATCCCCTCAAGTAGGTTGGGGGAGTAGTTAAATTTACATTTTGGGGGGGCTCAACCTGGAAAAAAGGTCTCAAGGGGGACCTTCTGGCACTCCACAACTCCCTGACAGGAGGCTGCAGACAAGTTGGGGTCAGGCTTTGCTCCCATGAAAAGAGACAGGACAAGGGGAAGCAGCCTCAGTCTGTGCCAGGTGAGGTTGAGGCTGGACATCAGGAGGAATTTCTTCATGGAAAGACTTGGCAGACATTGGAACTGCCCAGGAAGGAGGTGGAGTCCCATCCCTGGAGGTCCAAGGAATGACTACATGTGGCACTCAGGGCTCTGATGGGGGTCAGTCACAGGCTGGACTCAATCAACCTCTGGAATTTTGGGATTCCATGGTGGCTGCTGCCTGCTACACACATGTTCCATGTTCTGGGTTCACTGTGGCTCCAGGGGACAGTGGTTGTGTTAAAAACGTGACAATATCAATGGTTTTTCATGGATTTGTGCCCATATGGTTTGTTGGCTGTGGATACACTCAGGTCCTGCAGCTGGGGTTTTCTGGGCAGCACTTGCTGCTCATCCTCTTCCAGAGTGGAGTGGATCTCTCAGCAGCTTCTCTGGGTGATCCTGTCTCTTACAAAAAGCCTGACATTGAGTATTTCAGCTCATCACTTGTTGGTGGTATAACCCAGAGTGTTCCAAATAACATCAGTGTTGTTTGTGGGGGGGGAATAGCTCAGAGGGACCCCCACATAATAATAATAGTAGTAGTAGTAATAATAATAATAATAATGAGATAACCTGACAGATTCAGAGAATCAAGCCTTGAGGGTCTCCCAGATCCTTTGGGGGATCAGCCCTGAGGCACCCCCAAACCCTTTGGAAGAATAACCCTGAGAAACTTCCCCCAATCTTTGGGGGTTAAGCCTTGAGAGACCCCCACACCCTTCAAGAGAACAGCCCCATGGGACCCCTCCGTGTCATTTGGGGTTTAGCCCTGAAGGACCTCCACACTCTTTGGGGCAGCAACCCTAGAGGACCCCCACACCCTGAGGGGGATCAACCCTGGGGGATCCCCACACCCTGAGGGGGATCAACCTTGAGGAATCCCCACACCCTGAGGGGGATCAACCTTGAGGAATCCCCACACCCTGAGGGGGATCAACCCTGGGGGGTCCCCACACCTTTGGGGGTTCAGCCTTGAGAAACCCCCATGTCCTTTTGGAGGACAGTCCTGAGGATCCCCCACAACCTTTGGGGGTTCATCCCTGAGGAACCCCAGACTCTTCAGCAGAAAAAACCCACAGGATCCCCAGACCCTTCAGGGATCAACTCTGAGGGGCCCCCACACCCTTTGTGAGTTCATCCCTGAGGAACCCCAGACTCTTCAGCAGAAAAGGCCCATGGGATCCCCAGACCCTTCAGGGATCAGCCCCAGGAGACCCTCACACCATATAGGGGTTCATCCCTGAAAGACCCTCAGATTCTTCAGCAGAAAAAACCCACAGGATCCCCAGACCCTTCAGGGATCCACCCCCACACCTTTTGTGGGGTCAGTCTCCAGGGACCCCCCAAACAGACCCTGTTCCCTGGGTTTTCCAGGCATGCTGGGGTGTACACGGCCGAGGAGGTGGCTCTGATCATGAGGGAGAAGCTGATCCGCCTCCAGTCCCTCTACATCGACCAGTTCAAGCGGCTCCAGCACCTGCTGAAGGAGAAGAAACGCCGGTTCCTGCACAGCAGGAAGGGAGAGCACGAGGCCATCGGTGAGCCCAGACCTCCTGCCTGAGGGTGTGCCCAGAAATCTGCTAAAAAAGGAGGGTTTGGGCCTTGCTAGAGGCAGATTTCAGAGCAGGGTAAGGGCAGGGTTCTACACTCAGTGTTTTATTGAGGGGCTGGAGCATGTCTGGAGATGGGGGAGTGGCTGGAGCACAAGGAGAAGGAGCTGGGGAGGGGCTGAGCCTGGAGAAAAGAGAGGTGGGACCATCTCACTCTGTAACTCCCTGACAGGAGAGTGCAGCCAGGTGGGGGTCGGGATCTGCTCCCACGGAACAATGAGACAGAAGGAAATGGCCTCAAACTGTGCCAGGGGAGGTTTGGGGTGGGCACCAAGAGGATTTCTGTATGGAAAAGGTGGTCAGGCATTGGAACTGCCGAGAGAGGTGGTGGAGTCTCTGTCCCCAGAGGTTCAGGGAGCAACTGGACATTGCACTCAGTGCTCTGGTGTGGTTGGCAAGGTAGGGATCAGTCACAGGTTGGACTCTGATCCTGGAGAGCTCTTCCAGCCTGAGTGATTCCATGATTCTGTGCTGGTCCTGTGCCCAGAGATCCCTATCACTGCAGTTCCAAAGCTTGTGCATTTCTTTGCTCTTCAGAGCTTGCAGCCTTGGCAGGAAATGAGCTATAATGTTAATTCTGAGACAAAAGTGCTTATTTTGTACTGGGATTTCCTGTTTTTTCCTTTTACGAACAAAAAATGTTCATCCATAAGGCCCTTGGTGTGTGGACAGGAGCTGGTTCCAGTAACACCAGTGCTGCTGTACTGGCATATTCCTCCTTAGCAGCTTTCCCTCTGCCTCTGCTGGCATTCTCTCTGTGCAGAGCATGCTCTTGGAATCAGGAATTCCCAGTTCAACAGAGGCAAAACCGAGTTGTGTAACTGATCCCAAGTATTGCAGAGCAAAGGACTCTTTTTCCAGCATCATCCTTTAATAGCTCATCCTGGAAAACGCCATAATTCAGCTCAGGCTCAAGTAAAAATAACCAGGAGTTTGGTACATAACAATTTTGCAGAACTCTTTTTAGCAAAGGAGGCAGAGAAAAGCAGATCCTGAGCGTTGCCCTGTAATTACATCAGGAATGCTGGCGGGAAGCTTCCAGAACTCGCACAGGAGTGACCTGGAATTTGACAAGTTTCTATTCTGCTGCTGAAATCACAATGCACGGGAGTGGCTGAATTACTTTTAAAGGAGGTTTTAAAAATAATCTGTGTGCCCAAGTATTCCTGCTGCTTGAGGAGAGGTCAGGATAAATTTTGGGATGGAACCTGCACCAGCAGGCGTCACCCAAAGCTGCGCTTCTGCCGGTGCTGTGGATGGAGCCCTCAAAGCCCTCCATGGCTGATCTGCTAAAAAACCAGCCAGATTCCTGACTCTTCCTTTATTCCTGCAGGGAGCAGCCTCCTGACAGGGCCAGAGGGGCTGATGGCCAAGGAGAGGGAGAACCTGAAGAGGCTCAAGTGCCTGCGGCGCTACCGGCAGCGCTACGGGGTGGAGGCTCTGCTGCACCGGCAGCTCCGCGAGCGCAGGGTCCTGGCCACTGATGGCGCAGCCCAGCAGGTCCGTGGGGACATCCAGGATGGGTCTCTCCTCTCCTCTCTTGCTGGGAGTGACCCCACGCCCTGGCAGGTTGCTCTGTGTAACACCCTTCCTGCAGGGCTGCCACCCTTCTGGGTTTGGAGAAGCTCTTGGGATTGTTGTGGGAGCTTCTGGATCTGTGAGAGCTCTTGTGTCTGCAAGAGCTCTTGGTTCTGTGGGAGCTCCTGTCCTTCCTGCAAGGACAGCCCTAGCTGCCACCCTCCTGGGTTTGGAGAAGCTTCTGGGGTTGTTGAGGTTTGTGGGAGCTTCTGGATCTGTGGGAGCTCCCATGTCTGCAAGAGCTCTTGGTTCTGTGGGAGCTCCTGTCCTTCCTGCAAGGACAGCCCTAGCTGCCACCCTTCTGGGTTTGGAGAAGCTTCTTGGGGTTGTTGTGGGAGCTTCTGGATCTGTGAGAGCTCCTGTGTGTGCAAGAGCTTTTGGGTCTGCGGGAGCTCTTGGTGCCCACACCTGGAATGCTGGGGTCAGTTTTGGGCTGCTTGCAGCAAGGAAGACTTTGAGGGTCAAGTCTAGAGAAGGGAATGGAGCTGGGAAAGGAACTGGAGCACAAGAAGGGTCTGGAAAACTCCTGAGGAGATGAGGGAGCTGGGGGGCTCATCCTGGAGAAAGGAGGGCTCAGGGTATTTGGAGGCTTGAGGATTTTTGGGAGCTCCTGGGTCTGAGTGAGTCCATTCCAGTGCCTGAAAGAGGCTTAATAAAAAGAGAGAGAAGGAGTTTTAAATAGACATCCAATGACAGGACAAGAGGAAATGGTGTTAAACTAAGAGATGAGAGGTTTAGATGGGATATTGGGATCAAATTCCTCCCTATGAGGGTGGAGAGGCCCTGGAATGGATTTCCCAGAGCACCTGTGGTTGCCCCATCCCTGGAAGTGCCCAAGACCAGGTTGGATATGGCTTAGAGCAGCCTGGGACAGTGGAAGGTGTCCTTGCCTGTGGGAACAGGAGCTTAAGGAGCTTTAAGGTCTCTCCCTTAATTCCCAAATTCCATGATTTCAGGCTCACACCACCCGCTCCAGCCAGCGCTGCTTGGCCTTTGTCGATGATGTCCGATGCTCCAACCCGTCCCTGCCCATGACCCGGCACTGCCTCACACGTATCCTTTGATCCACCCTCCTGCTGAGTGCTGGCCAGCAGTTTGCCCCGTGGCTGTGCCTCTTTTCTCTCTCTCTGGCCCTGAATCAAGGCCCTCGGTTTGCTGTAGCCGTTGGTTTCAAGCAGGAGCCCAGAGGAAATGTCTCCCTGTCTGTTGGTGCTCCCATCCCGTGGAACAGCCAATTCGTATGGGAGCAACAAAGGCCTGGGCTGGTCCCAGGAGTGCTCCTGGTGTGGCCTCCTGGGTCCAGAGCATCCAAACACAATGGGCATTTCACTTGGAAACAGAGAGCCCAGGCAGGCCTGAGCTGTGAGGGATGTGCATGGATCCCCTCCAGGGATGGGGATCCTCTTTGAGCAGCCCTTCCTATTTCTGACCACCCTTTCCATGGAAGAAATTCAGAAATTATCAATTCAGAAATTCCTGAACCTCTCCTGGCAAAGCTTGAGGCTCTTCCCTCTTGTCCTGTCCCTTGTTCCTTGGGAGCAGAGCCTACCCCCCACCTGAGGACACACACACCAGAGCACGGCCTTGGGGATTTTTGGGAGGATCTGGAGGGGTAATTCGAGCCTCTTTGGAGCTGCTGTGACCCAGCTCAGTCTGTGTGACCTTTCAAAAGGTTCTCGTGTGTGTGAACAGCCTTGAGCTGTTCCACTTCCCAAATCGGCCTCACCTCTTGGAGAGCTGGCTCTGAAAGTTCCACTGGGATCCCCCAAGTCAGGGATGACCCCCAATATGGCATCAGGGATTCCCCAGCTCAGGGGTGACCCCCAGTATGGGATCAGGGATTCCCCAGCTCAGGGATGACTTCCAATATGGGATCAAAAATTCCTCAGCTTGGGGATGACCCCCAATATGGAATCAAGGATCCCCCAGCTCAGGGATGACCCCAATATGGGATCCAGCATTGCCCTGGGTGCATCTTCTCCATCCTCTCTGTGGGACTGGGAGGATGTGTCCAGGTTTGGATCAGGCTGGAGCTGCAGGAGGGAGCAGTGGGGTGAGTCAGGACAAATTCTGGCACTGAGTCCCAGGGCTGGGTGAGGAGGAGCTTCTGGATCTGTAAGAGATCTTGGATTTGTGGGAGGTGCTGGGTTGGTGTGAGCTCTTGGGTTTATCAGAGTTCCTGGGCCTGTGGGAACTTCTGGGTTTGTGGGAGCTCCTGGGTCTGCAGGAGCTCATGAATTTTTGGGAGCTGTTGAGGAGTTTTCAGATTTCTTGGGAGATTCTGGATTTTTGAGAGCCCTTGGGTTTGCTTTTTCCCTGGAGTTCTCATACTCCCCCAGCCCTGTGCAGGGAGCAGGAGCTGGAAGCTGCCTTTGTTTCTCTCTAACCACCACAGACTTCAAAATAAAGACAGGAGAAATCCCATAAAACAGCCAGAGAAGCTGCTGTTGGCAGCTGGTGCTCCCGGGAGGGAGGGAAGAGCTGGGTCTGGCGGGAGCTCTCAGCTGACTCTCAGTGACACAAACAAGCTTTTCCTGGGGCAGCTGATAACATCTGATAACATCTGTGGCTTTTCGGGAGGCTCTTGGGCTCTGTTTGCTTCCAGGAGCTGGATTGTTTGTGACAGGGCACTAAAGGGATGGGGGAAGGCTGGGAGGCTCCAGATGGAGCCTGGGATTTTTGTCCTCTTGGCAATCTGTGCTTTTGGCTACCAGTAAAGTCAGTGCTGGAGCTGGGAGTTGCTCCAGGAGATGAAAATCTGAATTCCCCACCCCCTGTTCCCTCACCACATCTTCCCTTGGGTGTCCCAGGTCCTTCTCTCTTGGGCTGGGCTCTGACATTGCTGCCAGCCCAGATTCTGGCTCCCCATGGCCTGCCAGGAAGTGGATTCCTGAGAAATCCTTGGAGTAGGGAGGAGAGGAGGGAGGGGTGAATCTCAAACCTAGCCAGCTTACGAAACTGGCTTAAACTTGGTGTCTTTTCCCAGTTTTATCTGGGTTTGGGATTTTTTTCCCCCCTTCCCACACTGGTGTGTGAGGAAATTGCAGTTGGGATGATCCTACTTGGGAGGGGATGGAAGAGGAGAAAAGTGGGAGGAGGAAGAGGAAGGAGTTGGAAGAAAAGGATGGGGATCAGAAGAGGAGAGAGAGGGATGGAAGAAGAGGAAGGGATGGGAAGAAAAGGTTGGAAGAAGTGAATGGGGGTTGAAAAAGAGGAAGGGGTGGGAAGAAGAGAAAGATTGAAAGAGGAAAAGGAGGAGTGGAGTCAGAAGAGGAGGATGGGATCAGAATAGGGCTTGGAAGAAGAGGATGGGTGTGGGAGGAGGAGGAAGGGGTTGGAAGGTGCTGGGTTCAGAGCAGGCTGGGTTTTGATCTGTAGCTCCTCTGGATCACTCTGCAAGTGTGATGCAATTGAAGCAGAGTTTCTGTTTGGGATTAAAGGCAGGAAATCCCATTTACACCTCTGGCAGGAACAGGTTTTCCACTGGGAAGGAAAATGCTGTGGGAAGATAGAAATACCATAACTGAACTCCTGGCTGTGGAAAAGGCATTGTGTGTGCTGGGATCTCCCTGCCTGTGGGGCTGGAGCTGATCATTTTCCATGGATGTCTGCAAACAAAAGTTAATCCTGTGCCTTTGTGACATCCAGCTGAGAATCTGTGAGTGGTTTCCAGGGATCCAGCCACATCTCCCAGCCCACACGGGGGGGGTGGGGGGGCTGTGGCTGTTGTCCCAGTTTTCCATCATGGAAATGATGTCACCCACATCCCTGGGCAGTTGGGGTGCAGCTCTGACCTCTGGATTCCTGATCTGGGAGAAATGGGGGTGAGTTTAACACCATTTGTGGGAGAATTTGGAGCATTTCTCAGCATTTCCCCCTCTGGATGCGTCTCTGCCTGCTCCCCTGCTGCTTTCCTTGACCTCCTCTTCCCAGATATCTGCCAGGATACAAACCAGACGCTTTTCAAGCCGTGCCAGGGCTCTGAGGAAGTTCCCTGCAACAAGCCCGTGCCCGTGAGCCTGTCAGAGGAGCCGTGCTGCCCCCTGCACCTCCGGCTGCCCCCCCAGATGTACGTGCCAGAGCAGGTCCTGGCAGTGCCCCAGGAGCTGGGGGCTGCTCCCACGGATCTGTACCTGAGCGCGGCCGAGCTCCAGCCCACGGAGAGTTTGCCCCTGGAATTCAGTGATGTAAGTGGCAAAGCTGCCCCTCTGCCCACCTGAGTGCCCAGCTGGCGTGCTGCGTCCAGGGCTGGGGTCCTCAGCACAGGAGGAGCTGCTGGAGTGAGGCTGAGGGCTGGAACAGCTCTGGAGCCAGGATGGGGATGTCTAGCCTGGAGGGGAGAAGGATCCAGGGATGTTTTAAACCCCTTGTAGTGACTGCAGAGAGCTGGAGAGGGACCTGGGACAAAGGATGGAGTGCCAGGACAAGGGGGAATACCTTCTAGTGCCAGAGAGCAGGGATAGGTGGGATATTGGAAAGGAATTGCTGTGAGGGTGAGGAGACCCTGGCACAGCTGTGGCTGCCCCTGGATCCCTGAAGGTGTCCAAGGCCAAGTTGGACAAGGTTTGGAGCCACCTGGGATAGTGGAAGTGTTCCTGCCAGTGGCAGAGGTGAAACTGGATCATCTTGACATTCCTAACCAATCCAGAGCATCCTGGGATTCTGTGAAAATGCAGGAATGTGGAAGGTTTGGGAGCTGTTGTAGGGCTGGTGGCTGCTCCTTTGGAATGGCTGTGCTCTTTAAGAGCAGGGGCCTCTTAAAGAGAGGATTTTCCCCCACCCCCCTACCCCCATTTTCTGTGGCACGAGGAAAACATGAAGATTTTAATCCCCAGATTATTGTGGCATCATGCATTTAAACCAGCCCAGCTCAGAGCTTCAGGAATGCATTGAGGCAAAAGCAGAGCAGCAGGATCCATGGGAGCTGCTCCTGTGAGGGTGTGCCCTCAGTTTTTGGGTGCCCTGAGGTTGCTGAGCTCTGCTCTTGGAGGCAAAGCTTGGATCTCCTTTGGAGTTTGGTGCTGGAGGAGGGATTCCAGCAGCAGGAGCTGGGAGAGCAAGCAGGGTCAGGCTGGGGGAGGGCTCAGATCAGATCCCAGCCCCTTTCTGTGCAAACAGAAGGGATTTTTTTTTTGGCTTAGAAAGGGAAACCAGGACTGTTTTCCCTCATCCTGTCCTTTGAGAGGGTTCTGAGCTCCCTCTGGAGCGCTGTGGATTCGTGGAAGCTGCTGGGGGCATCTGTGTTGTGTCTCACGTTGTGCCAGGCTGGGGAAGTGCCACTCGTGAGTCACAGGAATCTCACCCTCGTGTCAAACCCCCTTTGGAGCCAAAACAAATGCCAGCCTCTGCCAAATCCCAGCCTCTCCCCTTGTCAGGGAGGGCAGATGGAGGAGTGCTCGGAGCCTGTCCATCCCCATCTGTGCTGTCAGGGCAGAGGAGGTGTGACATCCTAGGAGAGGGTGGGGATGTTCCAGGTGTCCCCTGGAGTGTGTGTGACATCCTGGAGCTGCTCTGGGGGTCCCCAAGAGTGTGTGTGACATCCTGGAACTGCTCTGGGGGTCTCCTGGAGTGTGTGTGTGACATCCTGGAACTGCTCTGGGGGTCCCCAAGAGTGTGTGTGACATCCTGGAACTGCTCTGGGGGTCTCCTGGAGTGTGTGTGTGACATGCTGGAACTGCTCTGGGGGTCTCCTGGAGTTTGTGTGACATCCTGGAGCTGCTCTGGGGGTCCCCTGGAGTGTGTGTGTGACATCCTGGAGCTGGGGGACTGCTCTGGGGGTCCCCAGAAGGGTGTGACTGGACCCTGTCAAAGCCATTCAGGTGCTGGAGGGACACTTTGGGGACAGTGTATCACGCTGGGCTCCAGGTGGTGTGTCCCTCAGCAGTGCCAGCCGGGATCATGGCATTCCAGGAGGAGGAGGAGGGGGTTCCTGGGGTGTGTTCCTGGCTGCTGGCCAGGGGCCCCCCTGGCATGGTGCCCACTCCTCCTGCTCCTCCTCCCTGCCTTCCTTCTCCCTTTCCTGCTGCTCCAGAGCATTGGAGCCTCCTCAGCCCCCTCCTGACGAGTCCTGCTCTTTTCCCTGCCAGGACCTGGACGTGGTGGGTGATGGGATGCAGTGCCCCCCATCCCCTCTGCTCTTTGACCCTTCTGTGACCCTCGATCCATCCCTGAGGGACATGGCCGAGGCTCCCATCGACATCCTGGCCCTGGAGGAGCCCGACAGGGGCAGCTCCTCCACCCCCCTGGTCCCTCCAGCCGAGGGTCCTGCCCAGGTACGGCCAGGTGGGACTGATCCCTCCCCCCGGATGGGTTTTTCCCAGCAGGAATCCCCCCTCCTCTTCCTCCCACCAGCTCGTGGGGCTCCTCTCCCACACAGCAGCTCCAGAGCCTGGGTGTGCCCAAGGTCTGGATGGCATTAGGAGTGCCAGGGTGGTGGTGGCAGCCAGAAGCTGGCCCCGAGGTGGCTCTGTGGGTGGCTCAGTGCCACCCTTGTCCTGGGCATGGATGTCCTGGGAATGTCTGGGATGCTGGGGATGTCTGGCCAAGGGGATTGCCTGCTGTTGGAACCTCTTAATCCCAGCTGGGTTTTTTTAAGGGAGTTATTTCCCAGCTCAGGGGTTCTCCTTTCTTCTTGGGAGTCTTAATTTTCACTGGGATAACTGAAATTTGTTCCTGTCATCCTTTCTGGAGCCTGGGGCTTCTTTGGGGTGTCCCCACAGGGACAGGTGATGTCACCCGCTGTCCTGAGGTGAAGGCCAAGTTTTGGGGTGGGGGTGGGAGCCACATCCCAGGCTCTGACTGAAGACCCCCAGTTTTTGCTGTAGCTGTTGGTTTCAAGCAGGAGCCCAGAGGAAAAGTCTCCCGGTCTGTTGGTGCTCCCATCCCGTGGAGTGACCAATTCGTGTGGGAGTGACACTGCCCCGGGCTGTGTCCCAGCACTGCCAACACCCCATCCCCGGTCCCTGTGCTGTCCCAGCAGTGTCACCTCCCGTTCCAGCCCCGGGAGGAGCAGCAGCCGCAGGAAACGGCCTCGTCCAGCCCGGCCCGGGGAGCAGCGGCCAACGGGAGCCTGGAGCCGGGGGCCGTGGGCTGAGCCCGGCAGCACCGGGGTCCCCACACCCGGGGGACCCTCAGCGTGGGACCTGGGGGGGCTGGAGTGCTGCTCCAGTGCCAGGATGAGCTGCAGCTCCAGCTCTGCTGATCCCAGGAGCCACAGGAACCCCTGGAACGCCAGGATGGAGCTCCAGACCTCCCATCCTCCGTGGGGATGGAGTAGCCACAGGAGGCTGGGGGGGGAAATCATGAAATTTTGGGGGTCTCTGCCATGCCCTGAGGGGGTGATGTGGCCCTGTGATGTTTTGGGGGGACAGAGGTTCCATCCCGTGGGTCCCCCCACAATAAAGTGATGGAGGTGGGTGCTCGGTGTCCCTGTGTCCTGTGGGTGAGCCCAGAAATTGGGGGGTGCCCTGGGGGGGCTGGGTGTCCTCCCGGGGA